TAGACAAATGGGAGGAGAGCAGGAGGTGCTCTCCGCCAGGAGAAACAGCTTGATGGGGGCACTCAGGGAAAAGTGAGAAATAGGATGGTCAGAGAGGCTGAGGCCAATTTAGAAAGGCCCTAACGGTCAGTCAGAAAAGCTTGGCCTTGGGGCCCAGTGGAAATGAAAAACCGGAGAGGTAAACCTGGTATTAGCAGAGGACAGAGTTGAGAAACCAGCTGCAAGGGGACCACCCTAGTTGCAGTAATCCGATGTAGAATGGGGAGGGTTTGGATTAGAATGGGGGCGGGGGTAGAAAGGCAAGGAAGAATTTGTAATCATTTCAAAGGAGAAAATCTCAGATTTTGATGATAGGCTGGAGATGGGAAAGGGAGAGGAGACACACATTATTTCAATTGTTCTAGTTTAAGAGACCAGCAGAGTGACTCGTTTTCATATCTCTTTTCCTTCCTCACACAGAAATTCACTCCCTCATAGCATCCGGTTGAAATATCAATGACAAACAGAACTGATACATTTTTCTGTTAGAAACATACGTCGTCTTATTTACCTTTGACCTCACGGCAGTATTGACTCTGCCCTGTTTTGCTCCCCCATAGCACTCAGACGTCCGTGACGTCACCACCCACTCAGGCCTCTTTTGTACCGTGTAGGTGCCTCCTGGAGGTGTGTTTATCACCCACTGGACCAGCAGTTCTTTGTGCGCAAGGATCATGCCTTATGCATACATAGTAAGTACTGAGTGTTAGTTAATTGTTTAAGAAAACAAGATTTAAATGAAATGTAGCATTAAAAAGTTCTCCAGAAACAACAGTATTTCTTTTAAAATATATCATTCAAGTTGAAATTTACATAACAAAGCTTCCTTGTTCAATCGCTCAAACCATGTGCCAAGTAAAAATCAAACACCCTGTTGTGATTGTGTTAGGGTCACACAGGTTTATTCCTTGGCTTGAATGTTGCCTTACAGTAATAATAATGCAGTGTACCGTGTAATAAACAACACTGCAAATGGGGCCGGAAATCAAACACTTCACATATATTTTACATAAGTTACTGTATAATGATTATTACCATTCCCATTCAATAGGAGAAGCAGCCACAGATAAGTTCAGGTATTTGCACAAGGCCACCCAACTATTAAGTATTGACGCTAAGGTTTGAACCCAACCCAGGTAACTTGGCCCTGGAGTTCTCATCTTTAAAAGCTTTACTCTTTCCCGGATATGTATACAGCTCTTAGGGAGTCAGAAGGGATATTAGAGGCATATCAAGCTCTTGGAGGAAGGGGATTTTCCCACTCAGAACTATCAGTGTTTTTCTTTTTTCATGGGGTATATCCTTAAACGTATGCAGTGAAGGAAAAAAAAGGATTATCTGAATTGTTTTACAAAAGTAAACGAATAACTTCAGCAATATAATAGCCTTTTAAAGACCGCCTAATAACACAGAAAAAAACTCTTTACCTGGAACCAAAATATCCCCTTCCACTCCTTTTTATTCAAAGACTTGCTTTATTTGGAAACTCTTTAAAATAAGTGCTCATATGATTAAAAAAAGAAGCGGCGCGCCCCCTCCCCGGTGGCCGGGCGCAGCTGTCCGCGCCTCCCCCGCACCCCGCCGCCCGCATTCCAACTCTCTGAGGTCACGGGCCGCCACCGCCTCCCCGGATCCGCCCGCCCGCCCGGCCCCAGGGGGAGGGACGCCCGGCCCCGGCTGCCCCGGCTGCCCCGCTGCTCCGGCCGCGCGTCCCGGGCCCGTCCGTCCCTCTTCCTGCCGCCCCGGCCCCCGCCCGGTTTCTTTGTGCGGCGCTCCTCGCAGGCCGGTCCCACCTCCAGGCCTCTCCCCTCGCCGCCGCCGCCGCCGCCGCCGGACTCTGCCCGGGGGAATGGTCCGCGGGCCGAGTTTGGGGAGCCAGGAAGTGAGGCGTGCGAGCCCCATGAGCGCGCCGCGGTGCGGGCTGGCGTGCGGGCGCGGCTGCTGCTGCTGCTGCGCCGCGGGGCCCCGGCAGGCGGGCCGCTGAGCCGGGCGCGCGGCCCCGAGGATGAGGGAGCGGGAGCAGGTGAGGGCGCGGGGCCCCGGCCGGCCGGCGGCTGGCGGAGCACCGAGCCATGGGGTGTGTCCCCAAGCGGGGACCCAGGAGCCCGTCGGCCAGCCCCGCAGTCCCGGAGCGTAGGTCCTGGCTACCAGATCCACAGCAGGAGGGTAACAATGAGAAAAGTCTTCCCTTTTCAGGTTCTCTTTGATCTAATTTCTAAAGGGGTCTTGAACTTCTATTCTGAACTCGTCTGATTGTTGACGCTTAATTCTGGATCACGGGTTGGAAAGTCTTGGGTATGTTGTGCCTCTCGGAACGTTAAGGGAGAAATTTGTCAGATAACTGGCGAGAAGGCGAGGAGGGAAGGACTGTGTGATGATGACTTGTTTTGTTTTTGGAGTGGAGTGTTTACTCTGGAGAAAGGAATTCTTGGGTGTGCAAATTCCGACTTGTGATTTCTGCAGTTCCTGATTAGATTGACTGTTGGCATGCTCGTCCTGTTTACTTTCTTCCAAAGAAAGCCCTATAATAGTATGTGCTCGCAAACACATTCAAAACACTCCTTGTGCTCCAAGTGACAACCGCTGTATGTTTGCTTAATAGTTGCTGACAGATTTTTTTTTTAAGTTCGGGGTATGACGTTGATTTTACTCCAAATGTAGTTATGTTTTGTTTCTAGAGCATTTTATTCTTGGGTATCTCTGCCTAAATGTTTTGTCCATGAGAAATACACTTGATACAATGCTATATAGATCTATATATTGTCTAAAAGTGTCACCTACTCACTTTTAGTTAATACTTTGTTTTAAAGCATTATTGGCAAAATTGCATGTGGTAAGGACCTTAGCAGCAAGGGGGTACACTATAAAGCTGAGAGTGTAAGTGTATTTGAGAAACTTTTGAAAGGGGGTGTGAACAGAAAACATTAAAAGAATTCACAAATATCTCAGATTGCCTTTTAAAAACTTGAAACAATTTAATATGCATCTCGTACTACATAAGAGATGGTTTTGTAGAAAAACAAAGTATCTCCTAGTTTTTCCCTTCAAAAGCTAATTATGCATCATGTTTAGTAGTTAGATAAGTTCTAATTCCAGACCCAAGTACCGTTCAAATTACTGCATATCATTTTACACCTGAAAGAGAACTCCCAAAAAGCATCTTAAATTTCTACCCCTCTATTCAAACATTCATAACTTTATAACATCATTTGTAGCAAACGCTGTACATAGATGGGTAAATCGTTGATAATTTTGTAAATTATTAAGCAGAACATTATTTTAACACTGTAGGGTTTATATATTAATAAGGAACAAGGAAGCCATTCTTAGGGATAGATTTTTGGGGAAAAAAATGTATCTGATACATAAAGGTACACCTCCCACCCTTTTTAATTAGTATATATAACATCTACCAAGAAACCCAAAACAAAACAAAAAACCAAATACATTGGCTTTTCTTTATCCCTAATGTAAAACTTTGCATCTCATGCAGAGTTGAAAGTTTTACTGTTTGCTTAATCAAAGCTTAGTTAATAATTAAGTAATGTAGTATAGTATCTGCTGCCTTCAAGGCATAGTTCTTTGTAGTGAAAAGACTGCCATATTTGAAGTCCCTAAACATTCATTTTTCATCTACATATATAGAGTATCTTGTCTCTTCATCTATACTACTTAATCTGTCCTGTTTCCAGTTAATTCTAATTTGTGTGTAGTATTGAAATCCACCACTTTCTTTCTTGAGATATTTAGTATGTCATGCATATATAATTCTTTAAAATTTATACAAACACTGAAGGCTCATTGGGCAGTTTTCTAGTTAAAAGCTTATTATTCAAGATTCTCATTTTATTTTCTTTCATTTTGCCTCAATTACATATTTAATTTATACCTGACAGCAAAGAGCATCAAAAACTTCAGGTGGAGACTGTACCTTTTACAAATACTGTTTTTCCCCTGCTTAGCAAGGTGTATTTACCTACAGAAGGCACTCAGCAAATGCTGTTAAATAATACAGTACATTAGGTCCAGGTTCTTTTCCTTCTGGCCTTCCTCTATTGCTTGTTCTTTATTTTTTCTTTCCCTATCTGGTGATGACCAGAGCTCAAAAACCAAAACACAAACAATAACACCACCACCACCCGAAAACCATGGTTCGGTCCTTACTAGAGATGCAGCCCTGTGTGTAATTATAGCATGCTTTTAATCTCCTAGGGCAGCGGCGGCTTAAGAATCGTCTTAGATTTCTGACAGTGCCCACTACACTCTCTTGTACTGAAACGCAATACAGTTTTGTGGAATGGATTTAAAAAATGTTAAAGTTGGCAGATGTAGTGTATTAGCTAAACCCTATTTTCTATCTCTGCCAACCCTCATCCACGAGTGCCCATCACCTCTGGGGCTGACACGCAGTCAGAAAGTGGAAAGGAGCAGAGTACTGGGAATGAGGTATCTGGGATTGCCTCCCAATTCAGGCCATCCTAGTGTGAAGCTGAGAAAGCCGCTTCTCCTCTCGAGGCCTGGGTTCTAAATCGCCCGATGAGAGGACTGCGGGCTGGGGGTAGGACCCTGCCTCTCCGTGCAAGTTCCTCGCCCAGGTTCAGGGTAACCAGCCATGGCCTAGCCTCGCTGAACGATTCATCCTCGGGGCCACACTCTGCTTAGTAGAAAACGTAGGTTGGGAACTGTCCCGGGTCATTCAGTAGATAATCCAGATTTTGTCGAGTCTTGTACGGGGGCAAAAAAAATAAGCCAGTGTAAAAATTCCAACTGTCACTCACGCCATTTGCTTCGGCTCAGGAGTTACCATCAACAGGCCTGTTTGAAAACGCGTATTTGGGGCGTCCTGAGGCTCCAAATCGGTAATCAGACTGGCCCCACTCAAATTTTTTACTGGCTTGTGGGGCTCCAGCCGGGTCCTTATAAGATCCCTCCCGGGGCAGGCAGCTAGTCCTTGTCTAGTGCTTCCGTCCGGAAACGTCGTCGCGGACGGAGGGTTCCGGGCCAACCAGACTGAGCGTGGCCGGGAGATACAGCCGGCTCTTCTGGAGGGAGGGCACAGGAGGAGCGGACGCCAGGCTCTGCGCTGTTCCCTCGGCGTCCTGGGCTTGCTGGGCCGCATCCGCCCCTCGTCACCCCAGGATGGCGTTTAAGGCCTCGCGTGCCTGCTCTTCTGGGCTGCGGTCCCGCTTAGGTGAAGGCCCCCTGCCTCTTCAGGCCTTTCCACCCGGAATGGAGCTGGGGCCTCGCTTTTCAGAACTAACGTGCTTCTGGTGGTAATCTGATAATAAGCATTTGTAGGGTCTTTTATGATTTGTTTATAAATAAATCAGTTTGGTGGCGTAAATATTTATAAACCAGAAAGGGGTCTACAAATGCTTGTTAGGTGCCTCACCTCACAGTTGCCATATGTTTGAGGGGATCATTCCTCCCATTTGGATTCAAGGTTAATTTGCCTAATGGGACTGAAGATCGCTCTTTTGGAGGTATTTTGCAGTTATCTCACTCAAGGACTCAAGAACCATGACATTTGGAGTACTGGGGAATCAAAAGGAGTTAACTATGAAAAAACAAAACTTTAACATAAGTAGAGGACCCCGAATGCCAGCTACTAAATTTGGGGTTACAATAGTGCCAGCCATTATCTCATTTAATCCTGAAGATAGCCACAGGTTATCACTATGGTGGGGTTGAGTGAGGGTGGAGCCTGACCCAGGACCTAACACAGCCCTGATGATAAACTCCATGCCTACCAGATCCTGTTAATGCCTCCTTTTTCCAGGAGAGAGGGAAACCTTGCTCTTGGGATATAGCTTTATTGATTTTTATTTTTAAAAACAAAGTCCAGAGTTGCTATTGCCAATTGTACCCGTGTTCCTCTCTCCTCAGCACTGGCGTGGATGCTGCCTTCACCAGGCCTTTGGAGACTCAGTTGCTTTTTAATGGCCGCAGCAGCTGCTGGGTGAGCAGCTGCAGACTGTACAGTACTCCTGTCAGGAAGATCGCCTTCTCCGGCTGTTACTACCCCTGGATTGGTGGCGCTTTTCCCTCTTTAGCCCTCCACTCTTGAAGGAGAAGATGCCACTGCCATTTGGATTGAAATTAAAACGCACCCGGCGCTACACAGTGTCCAGCAAAAGCTGCCTGGTTGCCCGGATTCAACTGCTTAATAATGAGTTTGTGGAGTTCACGCTGTCTGTGGAGAGCACTGGTCAGGAGAGCCTGGAGGCTGTGGCCCAAAGACTGGAGCTGCGGGAGGTAAGCCCCCAAAAGCCTTCTTTGGCCTGGCTTGGCTCTGCTTTCCAGCCACTTTAATGCATGCTGGCTGTGTGTTCTCAAAGTGTATTCCTGGCCAGCCATGAGATCTGAGCTGAGCCTGCAAGCTCTCCTCCCCATAAAGAGGGAATAGACACAGAGGAAGGGGTCTCTCCTTGCATAAGCCGCATAAGAGAATTAACAGTGCCCGGGTTTTGAAAATATCTAGTGTTCTCCCAAAATATTACTTAGAATCAAATATGAATGAATGTTGGATTATCCAAGTTCCTGTTTTCCAGTATAATCCCAGTGGTCCTCCTGATCTAGGGAAGTTTACTGACTTCATTCTTTCATTTAACATCCATCAACTATTATGCACAGGCCGAGCCAAGGTTCTAGAGACATATTGCCTGAATTTGAATTCTGATTTTCCCCAACTAGTTGATTAACCTTGGGTAGTTATGTGACTTCTCAGAGCTCCAGTTGCCTCGTCTGAACCGTGGGGATAACAGTGGTGCTCAGAGTAGTTGTGTGATTTAATGTATGTAAAACCATAGCTCTAATAACTAGCAACCATAGGGAAGTTTGCCCTGGAAAGCCCCTAATCCAGTGGGTAGGAAGTTGTGGAGTCCTCAAGTAAGCACATAATGTCTTAAGTTTAAATGCTCTGTAAGGCCTATGGAGAAATGGGCTCTAATTAAACCTAGGACCCTGCTAGTCTTTGGCTGCCTGGTTCTGGGGTAAGAGAAAGTTGGAGAAACTGGTTATTCCACTTAAATGCCCATGTTATATTCCTAACTGTAAATCCCACTCATGCTGTAGTTGATAAAAAGTCAGGAATAGATAAACTGCCCCTGGCGACCATCCAATAGTTTGATCATAAAATATCAAAGACCTATTAAGTGCCAAGCATGTATGTATCAGGAGCTCACCCTAGTGTTGATACCAGTAAGAAACACATGATTCATGCTATGTTAAGGGCATGTAGAGGGTACTGTAGACCATAGGGAGAGGCAGCAAAGGGAAAGCTTTCCGGCATGTGATAACAGCTGGGACCTGAAGGGTGGGCCAGGGTCGTCCTGTCAAGGGCTGGAAAAGACTGTTCCAGCAAAGGCGCTGCACAAGGCCAGAGACAGAAGGCAGGTACTCTACCTGGAGCCTGAAGTGGGGACGGGGGAGGTTGCAAGCAGGGACCGTGTAATGCCAGGCTTTTTAAAAAGGGTTTGGACTTGTCCTGAAAATAGTAGGGAAGTTAGTGAAGGACTTTTTAACAGGGTGTGTTGTGATTGTTTTAACAAAGAATGAGCCCTCTGGAGAGTGATTAGAAGGGACTAGTTGTATTGCAGATGGTCATCACTTGTATTTGGATGGGGATAATGGATGGAATCTGGAGAGATACATGGCACCTACCTACCCAGTGTCAGGGAAGGGCTAGCTAGGGGTCCAGGTTTGATACTCAGGTTTCCATTAAATGGTGGGGACTGTAACTGAGAGGGGAAACATAAAAGGAAGAGCAGGTTTGAGGGGGAAGAGGAGAGGTGTGTTGAGAGTTCAATTCTGGAAGTACTGAGCTTGAGATGCCAGTTGGAGACGTTGAGTGGGCAGAGGCGTGTGTGGGTCTGGAGCTCAAGTGAGAGATCCAGACTAGAGGGGAGAGATTTGGAAATCATCAGTTTAGGTCGTTTAGTCGAAGCTGGGAGGAGAGTATGAGGCTGTTCAGGAGAGATAAAGACTTAGTAGACCCTGGTTGAATAGAGGAGGGAGAGGCGTGGAAGGAAACTGAAGTGGAGCATCAAATCAGGAGAGCCAGCTTCAGTGTCTGGTCCTGCTTACCTGCATTTATTCCATCGTTTTTGCTTCCTTCATCCAGTTTTCCTTTTCTGGTTTCTTTTTCCTATAATTTCTTACTCATGCACCAGGTCTGCCTACAACCACTACAGAGTCAACTTCTTGGAACTGTGATTAATTGATTTTAGTATCCAGAGTACAAGGCATGGAAGGTGCTCCAAACTACAGGTTGAACTGAGCCCACAGGTGTCAGTTGTTTCCTTCTTTGTTAGTTAAGGAGTCCAGAGAAGTTGCCATCACTTGTTGAGGTTCTCAGATGCAGGAACAAGTGACTTCATATAGTTGTGGGTACATAATGGAACTGGTTTTTAACAGAAGAGTAGAGTGCTTTGAGAGGAAGCAGGTTCAGTCCCTAGCAAATGTCTTGCCCATGGATAGACAGTTCCACCATTTACAATGTTTAATGATAGTTATGGCTAGAAAGTTAGTTTGTTCCGCAATCTTTTCCTTTCAAAGCTCTGCTCTATTTCATGTAAACACATAGGTAGAGCCCTGGGCCTAATCTTATCTAATGCCTGTTCAGAAAGAATCCGAGTCAGGGTAACACCTGTTCCTTAGCTTGCATCCGTACATCCCTTATGAGATTCATACCAGGAGATATTGGAATGTTGTTACCTTAAACTATTCTCCCATGAAGCAAACTTATTATCTTAGCATGTAGATTTGGTTGATAAGCTTTGTTACTGCGCAAATTTAAATTGGAGAAGTCGTCTTTTCTTGCTTAATTGAATACCATTTCACTTCTCTAATGGCAATTCTAAGGGCTGTACAATAATACTAACACAGTGCTATCCAGGGGCTTCAATTATGTTGGATGTGTGGGTATGATGTTTGCTTGTCAATTTTCATATAATTTTTTTTTAATGTCTGAAGGATTCTATAATATATCAGGATACTAAAACCAGAACGGTTAATATGTTTGTATCCAGGGTAGTTAACTTGGAAGAAGTTCTTTCTGAATTCATCATACTTGAACTACAGAGAGTGACTTTTAAAAATGGGGAAAAAAATTATCCCCCATAGAAAAATATTGCTGTTTATTATAGCAGCAGCCTCTCAAAACATTTGAAATTCTGTGCATATCATTCTGAGTTTCAAAACACTTTTTCAAGAAAGGCCATGTAAGTCTACCGAATTTAAGGGGAATTTGAAAACTTTGTGTCCAGCTTTGAAAGTATTTGTTACAGAGGTGGTGAGACAAAGCATCAGCTGGGCACAGCCCCTCTCGTGGGGTAGTATACCTCGATGGAATTGGTACAGTCTCGAGTGAGGTGATCAGGCTTAAAACCTCCTGTCTCAGGGAGTAAGACCCAAGCTACTCCAGGTCCCTGAGAAAGATAGTTAAGACCGGGATGCAAGTGTAGTAGTCGCAATGAGATACAGAGCTGCCCAGGGCCCCAGGTACGTGTGTCCTTTGGTCAGGCCCTCATCACCCCTCAGGCAGGCCACGTGGGAGCCAGAGTGAACAGGAGTTGATCGGTGTGTGTGGGAATCAGATAATTCAGGTTGTCCTGAAAGCCTAACATATCTTCATATGGGGAATGGTACTGCCCTCGGGACCAGACAAGCTCCTTTGAGTCTGCATCCCCTTTCTGGGCAGTTATCAGTATGTGACTTTGGGAAAATTACTTAATTTCCTAAATCTGTTTTTCATCTTGAAATTGGGTATAATGGTAATATCTACTTGATGGTGGTTGTGAGGATTTAATATTAAGTATAAAAACATTTAGCAGAGGATCTGGTATATAGGAAACTCACTAAGTGTTACTCTTCATTACTGTTGTTACTGTTATTTGTGACTTCCTTTCCATGATTCAGTGACTGACCAACTTCTCTTCAAATTAACTCTTCTGTAAATATCTTCGTTGGTTCCTCTTAGGAAGAGAATAGGGCTTGTGGTAAAATGTCCTCACAGTAAAAACAAGTAGAGCAGCCACTGGTAATCATGCTTCCTATGTTACTAAATCATTTAAGATTGTGGTATGCTATTTTAATTTAGCAGTCGTATTTGAACCTCTATTTCCATACTAGCTGAAATTAATTTGTACAGTGTTACTGCCTCATTGCCCAAAAAGGAAAAAACAGAGCTTCATTAGGTTTTTATTTCTCTATTGGTCTTTCTTCCTCTTCCTTCCACCTAACTTCTAGGATTAAAAGAAAACGTTATATGGAATTTTGGATTAAGGTTTATATCTTTTTCCTTAGGATATGTCTTAAGAATTCTTTGAAAATCTTACATTTCATAATCACATTTTTATCATGTTGTCATGGGTTTTAGTTAGATTCATTATAAACTGTTATTTCTTATATTCCTTTATCTTAAGGTGCTTATTCAGCTTAAATTTATATGTGGTTGGAGGATTTTTTTTTTTCTTGTTTTAAGTTTTTAAATCTCCAGTTAGGAAATAGGGACGTTATTAAGCCCTGGCAGCCTTAACTTTCATGTTTTTGCTATGATACGTTATGTGTTAATTGTATAACGAACTCTAGAGGGCCATTTTCTTTGAGCCCTTTCTGAGTGTTTTGTGTGTGGGGAGGGGAAAGAGGAGCAATCTCATTTTTTCTACATAAATGGCTTTCCTACATAACTGCAGTTTTGAAGTGGAGATCAATACTGAGCCACCCCTAAAGTTACCTCTAAAGCATTTTGTTAAATAAGGTGAAAAGTCTAGCACAATTTTAAAGTTCTTACTATGGTCTCTCATTTTAAATTCTATTTTATAGTCCTTGATATTTGGTTATTCTGTTGTGATTTATCACAGATCCTCAGAAAATGGACTTAATTTGTATTTGAAGTGCATCCCATATATGTCAAGTTTTTATCCTGTAGAATATAACTTCATCAGAGGGAACTGTTGTATTAAGAGGGTCTAGAATAATGCCATGTACCTTTCAGTACAAAGTTGCTGTATAAATGTCTCCTTAGCTTAAAAATTAAGGTTCTTGCTGGGCATAAAAGCCACAGAGCATAAATCTGCAAAGAAGTAAAAAGCTAACCTTTTCAAACAATATGGCTTCTCTCTCACTTACCAACTTTACATCTCCCTGTATGGCCCTGGAAGATGACTGGTTAGCCAGAGACTGGTAAGATTCCTCAAGGGAGGAACAACCTAAGAGAGGCACAGTCGCAGGGTGGTCATCAGGTGAGAAATTGG